CAAGAGGAGGGCACTTGAGAGACATGAAATCCTTGGAGCATTTGAAGCAAAGGTTTTATTGGACTGGTTGTCAATCAGCTATAGAAAGGATTGCGAAATATGCTGAGAACATTGTAGCTAAAGGATCAAGGTCCAGGAGTCATGGACAGATGAAACAGCACAATTCGCATCCGCCAGTTGAGAAAATAGGCGCGTATGAAGATAGTCCATTCCCCACCAATAAATTAGGAAATAGTCATGTTTTGGTAGTCAAGGACCATTTCAATGAATGGCCACAAGTATACACAATTCCTAACCAAGAGACTGAACCAGTGGCGGAGGTATTCATCAACAAGTGGGTAACGAGATTCGGTGTTCCAATGGAGTTACGTTCTGATCAAGAATGGAATCTCGAGTCAGCTTTAAGTCAAGGGATGTACCAGAAACTGAGTATCCGGAAAACGGATGGAATAAACTCCAAGAAGAGAAGGGCGGCTAACGATGTCAGCACCAGCCTAGAAGAGGAGATGGGGGACATAAAAGCTTTGTGTTTGGTATCACAAATATGTCTAATCGGGACGATCAGACTTAGGTGGAGGGCAGTGTGACGAACATAGAACAAAATCGAATGAACGATAAACTGCCAGAAGCAACTAGTTAGCGAATTCGTAGTTGCCAGAATGTTCTATAAGCAATGTTTTGTTACTGATTTACTATATAAGGGCTGCCGGATTGTGCAGCAAACACAGTTCTAGTTAGAGTGTTGTCGTGATAAGAACAATTGAGACATAAGCAAGAAGTGGTAAGCTCGAATAACGAGCAATAAGTGTTAAGTTGTTGGAATTAGAAATAAAGTATAGTGTGTAGCCATTAAATTGGGACTTTTATTTAACAATCCAGTGATCGAACTCAAGAGTGAGTTACAGGTAGACGATTTATCGAGAAATCCGTTACAATATCTTAGCAAAATTAACTAAATGTACTATAATAATGGATTAACATTATTTTAATGTGGAAAATATGTGAAATTATATTAAACTACAGATAATAATGTCCATTATTCTAACAAACTGCTGAACTTGATTCGAGTTGGTCTAGAATATTATATAGTATTTTAATCTCATTTGAGGATGAGTTCAATATAATTTAGGTGATGGCAAGTAAAATATGGTTATAAAACTAACTGAGTCTATGACCTAATAAGTTACCAAATTTGATTATAATTCATTCACTATTTTGTCGAACAATGTGTGTTGAATTTTCTTACAACATCTTTTAATATAAAGTTTGCCAATTTCTGAAGGTATTTCCCCGGAGTTATCTTTGCAACTTGCACCCGAACTTAGCCCTTCCTTATATTATGATAGATATGATAAAGGTCTTTCTTTGAAAATTGTTTAAAATCTTTAGTAAATATATTTAGAAGATACCTACAACATTTTCAATAAAAGTGCAAGAGAAAGGTTGTCTATTGACTCAAATTCGCAGAATTTTCACTACAGGGTTTGTTTTAAGTTATATGAATTAATCATATTTTCAAATTGGTTTTTGGAGATATTAAATATTCTATTCGTAAACGGCGCGTAGCAATTGTTGGACCAACCGACTAACCATCTTGCATTATTATTTAAACTAAAATGTTTTTCAACAGGGTTTCAGTAATTTGCGAAATTTTTAATACTACTTATGGTATATGGAATTTTACAACGTTGATTGCAAATTGCGTTTTAAATACCTATGTATGGTATATGAAACCATATGGTCGCATGAGCTGCACACATATGGAAGGTGTTTGTATGGCGAATATCTATGTACATTATTTTGTAATTTTTCCTTTTTTCAAGCAACATGCAACATGTGAACGCACCTGCAAAAGAGTTGTTGGTGGTCGGTTACTGGTACCATTATGTAAATTTAAAGAGGTAATTTGGGTGTTGAGCTTATTGCGCTCATTACTTCATCGTCAAAATACACACAACTAAGTATATTCTGGCACATATGCACCAGCAGCAGTGAGCGTTTAATATTTCAGAAGGTAAACAAAATAATGAGAGCAGATGTTGCCCCCTACTTAACCCTTAATGTACACTATATAGAAATAGCAAGAGATTTGTAAATAATTATCTATAATTGTACGTTACTATTTAGGACATAGTTTTACAGCTTTCATTTTGGTATGATTATGTAATACCATTAGTTGAAATTAAAGCAGTTTCAATTCCCTACGCCTCTGATAAGCATTACATACCAACAAGTTAGAGGCTCAAGACAAAAAATGGATTTTATGAGCTCAATAGTGATATTCGAAAGAAGAGATAATAAAAATATGAATATAGTCTTAATTTTAAAATCGAAGTACCCCCACTTTAATTCAGTATAGGTCTTTATATGCACATATGTTGTAATATGTGTAAATAGAAGGCAGTTCCGCGCCCATGGTTTATCATATTCATGCGAAGACCGAAAATACTTTTTTCACTATTTAATTTAAAATATCTGACCTAAATTCACAATTAGTAGTTTTCAACAATACCAAGATAATTGCCTTATTCATTCCATTTTCATAGTACACAATATTTCGATAAGGTTAGGTTAAGAGTCGATCCTTATAGGATAATTTCTGTAGTCTTCATTTACTTTCTTTGCAAAAATATTTACAAGGAATACTGTAAAAATATTATAGAGCGGCACCTTCTCGTGCCTCTTATTCTTACTCGAGATAGCACTTGCAAAGACACACTTATAAAGGTAAAGAAAGACATCTTTAAACCAATCCTATGTAAATCTAGCAATTTCGATAATTTTGATATATTTAATCTTACATCTAAATCACTTAGTTATACGAGTATGTGCTACGGAATAAGCTGTAGATGAACAAAACTAGTGTTCTCTTGTATCACATAACGCGAGAGTATAAAGAGAATAAATGTTTACGGCTATCACTTTTAGCTCTGCACTGTCCGCACAAATTTTCTTTAGCGCATGCTAATTTGCTGCAGAGTATGCAAAAAGAACTAAGCACATCAGGTCAGAGGCTCTGAATATAGCATGTGTTCACCTCTATTACTTCGTTACTTCGGTTCTTATTCAATCTGCAATAGCAACAACAACGCGGTCGCTGTCATCAGCATCAGCCGCTGCCTTTTACTTCCGGGTTCACACTACTTTTCCGCAAATACTGATAACTTCCACGGCTACAAGTACTCAACGTTTGTCAAAGGGTTAGCTCATATTCGTGTGCCCTCGCACAGGCTCAAATTATAAGTACCCAAGTGGGCGAAACAGAAGTGCTTCACTGGTAGAAATGAATTTGACAAGCGATGAATTTATTTTTAATGATGTTGCCGAGCGTTGTCGTGCATACACCTTCGTACCTCGTACGCTCTACGGCCATACTTATGTAATGTGACTTGTTTACCAACAAATATTTGCATTGTTGATGCAGATGGCACTGGTTGCGTAGTTAATAGACCCGTTTATGCAAGCTCACATATAGGTCACAGCCAAACGCCATACGCGGCTTAGCGCTATGAAGCTTTAAATTGGCTTTGTGCTATGGCATTGACTGACATACATATGTTGTGTATAGGGATATGTAAGGATTTGTAAACATCGCGTTTCTGTCTCATAATGTAGCTGGAATGCGTCTGGTCTAAATTATATTATTTTTTCCTTAATTTTAATTCATATTATCTTAATTTTTATTGCCAGAAGAAAACATTGGCAATTTGACACAATGAACATAATGGAGAAATTCAAGTTTAGTTAATGCAAGAACTTCGTATTTAAGGAAGGGCACGAAATTCACACTTGGATATAAGAACCTAACGTCAGATCAAAACCTATACCTAAAACTTCCCTATGCTCAATTATTAATTTAAATTTGTTAGAACTACCAAACTATTAATCTTAAATAAAATAACCACATATACAATAATTTCTTGGAAGAACTGTGATGGGTTCCTTTGTAGGGCAGCTTCGGAGATTGCACCATTATCTCAAATAAAAAAGTCATGCCGAAAAATGTTTTCAATGTAAAAAAAAAGTTTCAACTTTACCTTGGTTTTATCGTTTTATCCGTTTTTTTTACTAGTAGTTTAATTAAGTAAGAATTTAAAATGAACGATTGGGTCTGCTTTTGACCGGCATCACCTTTATTATACCCTGAAGAGGGTATATTAATTTTGCCACGAACACGGACTTGCCGTAGACCCTACAAAGTATATACATATATACCTAAATGATCAGCATGACGAGCTGAGTCAATTTAGCCATGCCCATATGTACGTCCATCTGTATATACTAGTCTCTCAGTTTTTGAGAAATCGGACCACTATATATGTATATGTAGCTGCCATACTGAACTGAATGATCGGTATCAAGTGCAAGTGTGGAAAACTTTTTCGTTTGACGAGGTATCTTCAAGAAATTTTTAAAAAATTATTATCTTCTCTTCTACAAGTACAATCTTCGAAAAAATTGTTCACATCGAATCGCTATAGCATACATGCATTGCAACAATATCAGAACTTAGTGTTCAGATTCAGATCGGATGGGAGAAAGTACCAAATCGAACAGGCTATAACAGCTTAACTCCGCGCAAATAACGTTTTAATAACCAACTGTTTCAAACAGCGTCCATGCTTTACGTTGAACAGAAACGTTAATGTTTGGTTTTAAGTCTAACGAATTTCGAATTCGTTAGACTATATACTCGTACGCATATATATTGCAGTCATGTTCCAATGTTATTGGCACCTTTAGTTACGCCAATTTCAGTTTATTTATTGCCCGGTGCAACCTCCTTTGTTGAACCCGTTTTGTGGGGTTATGGACCAAGCATCTTGTTGGAATACATCTAACGGCAATATTTGTGACTGTGGCTAGTAATCAGTCGGTTGTTGTAAATGAGCATCGATCCCTCATTTGCTGTGTTTGTTGCTCTCTTGTTAACACATTTAATACAATGAAATATACGGATATCTTATTCAATACAAGTTTTATTATATTAGATGACTCAAATAACAAAAAGAATTTTTTTTATTAATTTTAAATTCGTTAGACTTAAAACGATACATATATTATATATTATGTATATGTGCATAATTTAGAACATGGCCTAAATAACAATATCCCACTGAGATAATCTTTAAAACCCATTCAACCATTCTTTCTTCGTAATGACTCAGTCAAAACAAGTACTTTGCTTCACAAATTTGATGCTTTTTTAACACCAATGATACGTTAGTTTAAACATAATTACAGAGAACCCACTAACCAGTTCCCGGTAATACAGATAGAATTTCCTGACAAACAAAGTCATCTCATTTGTTTACTACTCATAATTAACGCAATAAAAATGTTTGCAGTAATCTAAAGACGTTGTAGGGAATACAATCACCCGATGGCAATGTTGGACCGGTCATATTAACTCCCTTTCCTCCCACCCCTTCGCCTTTGAATAGCCCATTTGAATGCAATTACTGCAATGAAGGCGTGGCATTTGTATGGATTTTTTGCGTGCCTTTTATTACTTTATTATGAATACTTGCCACAGTAGCGCTCTGCTCGCACCCCTCGGCACGAATGCTATTTTTATACCTATAACGGCGCATTGTTGTATTATCCTTTGCACCCACACTATTCTTGTTGTTTTTGTTTGGTGGTCTTATGAGTATATTTCGGTTGGTCGGTCTTGCGGTTGCTTAATCCCCACATAGTCATATAAAATATTTTTTGCGATAATATGTATATATAAATGCATATGTACATTCCTGTATGAGCCGGTGTGTCATGTAGTTTTTTGTCGTCGCTTCGCTATGTTTGTGCCTTTCATAATCCACATAATGGCTGTCTACCTGTGGTGACTGCGATGTCTTGTTGGCTTTTGACTCGTTTCACTTTTCACTTACCGTTAACAGGTAAATATACAGTTGCACATATATATATATATATGGGTAAGTGGCTGCAATTAGGCTAACTCCAGTCGTCGTTTTAACGAGGAAATGCTCTTTGCGGAAAGAGCATGTTAACAAATTTACCTTTTTTTATATTTTGCCTTCCGTATGGCAACAAAAACAATTTTCATATAGTATATAATTAATTTGGAGTGCATGTAAACAACTTGCAACAAAATTAATTTATGCAGTAGAATTTCGAGGCGTAATTTAAATAGCTGACTAGTGTTCAAGTGCGCAACAACAACCATAACGAAAGCTTGGTTTTATTATATGTGGCAGAAATGTTTCTGTTTTGGCATAGAGTTGCAAGTTTAATGCTCTTTTCTTGTAAATATTTTGTGGTATATTATTTAATTTACTTTATTCTTAGCCATCCATAATAGCACTATGATGAAACTAGTTTATATGAATATAGAGGCCCTTTCAAAGGGTTAGGTGGGTTTCAGAGGTTCAAAATAAAAATACCTTTTACGGTGGTACAACACGTGGATGGGAAGATATTTTCTTGAATCGATTTTAAATTTTTGGAGAATATTTCAAACATTAAAAAATCGATTTTTTGAAATTTTCAAACCTACTATTAATAATATATAATACTGGAAAACGCGAACGTAGCATACTCCCCCACTTCAGAATTTTGATATGGTTAGAACAGTATTGAAGTGCCCCTAATGATTTTTAATGTTAATTTATTATAAATCGTCGTTGTTGTTATTGTTAAAGCGGTAACTAAACCCAGCGTCTGGGTAAATATTTAGGAATTTGTTTTTCCAGTGCAGTCGAACTATAGAAAAATGAGTATTAGATTTCTTAGATTTAGGTGGTGGAGATGGTATTAGATTTAGGTGGTGGAGATGGTACGCATGCTAGATATACATATGTTCTATATATCGAGTCTCACATATGATCTGCCATATACGAGTATCAGCTGTTGTTGGTAAATTATATTTTTTTGTGGGAGGCGGAGCAAGTGTCTGCAAGGATGGTTTTAAGGAAAGCCACGTTTGAAGAGCTAAATGAATGGAAATGGAAAAAGACGGAGTTGGTGCGGGAATATACTGTCTGGAAGTAGACATAAGGCACCTTTTTAAGCTCGCGGATCACCACAGTATACTTCAGGCAAAGTTTTTAGCTGTGGGAAAGCCTCTAATGCATCAGGAGGCAGCTCCAGAGTTAACATCTTGGCAGCAGTGAAGAGTGTCACCAGGAACAATTGATTTCACTTCTACAAGTCACAAAGGTATCGAAGGCAATGAGATGGTGGACGAGATTGCCAAGAAGGTTTACGGTTGTCATCCGAAAACGATACCAACATTGATAAGCCCGTGCATTGTCTTTACGATTCGGACAGGAGCATGGCAGGGAAAGTGTAAAAAGCGGTAGATCAGAAATACAGTTACATAAAGTTCCTTTCACTTTTCACTTCTGATAAAGGGGTTCACTTTTGATATAAGGAAAATGATTGGAATACTCACTAGTCATAGCCTGGTGGCGGCTCCTGCCTGCAGAATGGGGCTCGACAGATAAAGATGACTACAGGAAATGTTAAGATCAAGACACCACGGAAATAATGGAGAATATCTTGTGCACTATACAAGGCAATGGTTCAAGCTTTAAGTAGTCTGAAACCACACTCCACTTTCACGACATGGAAAGTTGGACCACGACCACTTTCCGAATTATTTTACATCCCTAGCGTTGCTCCTACAGAAAATGAAATTAATATTTAAAGGCCCTAGTTTGATCGCGCAATATCTAAACTAAATATCTATGCTAATTCGTTTTTGGTATTTCAAAGAATCATTAAGAGACACCCACTTCCAGAACATCTTAAGAGAGTATTGAGGAATATTTAAATTAGTCTAACGGTTTCAATTTTTATTTTCTCTATGCTTAGCTATCTGAACAGTCTTTTACCTAACTGAGATGTCACCCTTTGCGTTAAATACACGTCGCCCCCAACACCACTTTATTGTGATCCTAAACTTATGCAACATTATCAACTCGCCGCAAGGTATGCTTAATAATTGAGTTGCGCAGGTATTAAAAAAAAAAAAAACAACATATAATGTCAGTCGTCACATATATGCACACGTATATCTACTAATGATTATGGTATGATACCATAAATTATTGAATTATTTGATATTAACATACCTACTGCTCGATTACACATTAAGCTTTGCATATTCCGCCAGTTTATGGTATATGTATTACAGTTATTCGGTGGAGTTTTACAGCCATCAATTAACATTAATATTGAAAATGAACCCCTATTTTACGCATCGTAAACGAATAATAAAATTGGATATTTTGGCCTTGACTCCTTTGAACTTACACAATATTGTTCACTTATTATTCACGTTGAACTTTTAAAGGTTCATAAACATTTCTTCAAATTCCATATTAGTTAAAACGTTATGTAGAACATAATGGGTTATGTTTTGTTAAAAAATTTACAACAACACTTTGTAAGATCAACCCAATGAATCAGTCAAAATATTTCAAGTTTTTGTGAATCAGCACCAATAAAATTGAAAACTTGTTGCCGTTTGATTCATATATCATTGAAATTTTAACTATGGTCGTCATTAAAAGTGCCCACTTAATAAATATGCTTAATACTTTAAGTGGTATTTCGAACCCAGCGCCACCTATTAGAGATAATTACTTATAGTTCGAATATTATTTTTTATATGCTAAATACTAATTAAATCGGATAATAAAAATGTGATATTGACCGTTAACCACGTTTTATGTTCTGAGATAGCCGATTGTGTAATATGTGTGAAATTATATGGATGAAAAGGCATGGTCACATTTTTGATCTGTGTGCTCCACGAACTTAAGCTGAGATTTTCTCGAAATTTCGGATAAATCAGCTTTTGTTAATCCTATATATTCATACATATAATATATAGAAATTGCTGAGGTCCAGATCAATAAAGTAATTTTTTTCACCCAGTGTAACGATTTAAAATATCCCTTTTAAGTGTAGAATCAGTAGTTAGCTAACAATGTGTCCAAATACCTATTAAAACCTATACAATTTGATATGATTTGATGTGAATGAAGTAACATTTGTAATAGTTCTGATAATCTTACTTATCAATGATTTTTGCTTCGAAGCACATAACACATTATCTTTCCCGAGCGTAAAAGAAAAAAACAAGCGATCTACGAGTAAATTATTTACACGAGAGAAAATTCTATGTCAATAATTAAATCAATAGTGTGAGATTGAGAAATGTCTTTTACAAAAAGATTAGTTAAAATTGTAGGTATCGTATTAAAATTTTCGTCTAGTAAGAAATTTTCTTTATCTGAAACTTTTTCATATATATATTATTCTCGAAACAACAAATAATGAAAATAAACGTTTGCAGCGAGGAGTATAAGATAATATAACGTCTGATATAAATCAAATTATTTTTTCAATAAATGGCTTTAGTAATCGCTATCTGCAATCGGATTTCCCTAAATGGCGTTAGAGACATAAGGCAGTTAAGTGATGGCTTGATTCATTATTGTTTGAGCACGGTAAACCGGCGCAAGTGGCATAAACCAAATGGTGGTATTGTATTCGAAAAAATGTCTCACAAATATTTCAAGCAATTGAAAAAATGTTTGATTGAAGAGACTTTAATGAAAATTGTCTACACTTCCAAGTACTGAAACGCGTTCGCTAATTAACTAAATTGTCGCTTAACTCAACTTTTAATTATTTGCAGTAAACTAGATCGTAAATTACAACTATGCTACTTTACGTATATTATAGTAAAACAATCAAATATACTCAGCTTACTTAAGCACTACCTTTCAGATAAATATTTTACAATATCAAATTTTTGTTTTATTGATTTTCCCATGGTCTACTTTTAACCACCTTATTTTTACTGCAGCCGTACGAAAGTGACATCTTTCGATAGCAGGCACGAAGATACGTACACCATTAATAGGTTGGAAAAAAGTGCTTCCCGAAAAATCTAACGCTTATCGAACTTTAAACCAAACGATAGATAATCAATTAATTGTACGCAGAGCTGCCGTCATATCAGGGGTTGTAAGTAAAGTGATGCATGTATTGCTGATATGGGCTCACATGAAATTAAAATATGATTATACTCGTAAATTTTGAAAATCATTATCTGATATTTAATAAAAGTTTCGGCACAAATAAATACTAAGAAACAAGCATACCTGCATACTGTAATGTGACCACAGAAGAGTTGTGTAGCTATCTTATCTAGTCGATTTGACTAGGAAATTTTACCAATCGCATTTTATTTATTCGCAAATATGAATAGGACAGCTATCGGAAATTAATGACAGTTACTTTCGCGAGCTTCAGACAAATGCATTGCAAGTGTTAAAACTTCGCACATAATTTAAAATCATGACGATGGGGCTTCTTAAAATACTAATTTGGCCAATATTTGGTTCATTGCTCAGCACAACCCCTACTTGTGGTATGCCCGTATCAACATTGCTGGATGCTGAAGAGATAGCGGGCATGTTTGAAGGCGATATGATCTTAACTGCAGATCAAGAACGTCTGCTAAGAAGTCCGCTTCAAGGTCGAAATGGTTTGGTTGACGAGACCAAGCGGTGGCCAAATCGTATAGTGTACTACAAAATTGTCGGCGATTTCGGTATGTGCAAAGAACTATAATGTGTTGAATGTATATAAAAGGCATTAAGAAATTAAGAGAAGTGTAAGCCCTGTGGCCAAATTAGCTCACTAAAAATCTCGTAATTTTAAGTGTTTTGCAATTAAAGTGTGGTTATACTTGTGAATCTATAAGATACAAATGCCACCGCAATAAAAGTCTGTGATAAAACTTTGGATGCATTCATGGATAGAATTCACTATTTGGATTGACTGCATTAATATTTGGCATTATTCATATATACTCGAGCATATGTTTTTACGCAAGTTTGTGAAGATAATTCACATACTGAAAATCAAAATGTATGCTTTAATATATGAGTAGTATTTAATGGACCGTTTTCACCCATTTTGGCACTAAACCCCACAAATTTACCGATATATTCAGTAAAAAGTCAGCCATAGGCACCAGGATCTACATATTTGCTATCTGGAGCCTTGAAAAGATATGTTCCAAACTCAATAATTTTTAGACGTAATACAATAACGCCATTAGCTTCCATCTAATAAACTGTTAATCAAAGGAATCCGATTGAAAAATTCTGATTAGCCCGATTTCACAAAATTAACAATGTAACATATGAATAAACAAGAAAAAACGTTAACTTTGGTTGCACCGACGCTATAATACGCTTCACAGAACTTGATTCCGATCGTTCAATTTGTAAGGCAGCATATGACATAGTGATCTGATGATTATTGACTTAAATAATAGTCAATGCCAAATTTCGTGAAGATACCTCATCAAATAAAAAAGTTTCGCATACAAGTACATGATTCCAATTGTTCAGTTTGTATGACAGCTATATGCTATAGTGGTCCGATATCGGTCATTCCGACAAATGAGCAGATGTTTTATGAGAAAAAACAGGTGCAAATTTCAGATCGATAACTTAAAAATTGAGGGACTAGTTTGCGACAGAGGGACATGTCCAAATCAACTCAGCTCATCATGCTGATAATTTATGTATATATTTTAAAGGGTCTTCGACATTTCCTTGTGGGTGTTACAAACTTTGTGACAAACTTAATATACCCTGTTCAATGTATAAAAATAATTTTTATGTAATTTTATAAAAGTAGGCGGTACCATACGCGTTGTCAAATTTTGATAGCGACACCTATGGAAATCTTTTTAACTATTAGGTTGTGCGTTCAATGGAGAGTGGGCGAGGTTATCAGCCGATTTTACTATTTCATTGGGAGATGCCAAATAGATTTGTTCTGCACGGATTTGGGTAATGTAGCTTTAGTGGTTTGTGAGATATTTAATCAAACTTATTAAGGGGCGAGGTCCTGCCAGTTTTTAAAAATTTTCAAATCACAAATGCCTCTTCTTACTGCTATTTTGTATGTGCACTAAGTTTCATGAATATATCTCAATTTTTTCACAAGTTACAGTCAACCGGAACTCAACTCGTCTCATCTGCTCTGATCATTTAAATATGTATACATATAACTTCATATATACAAGTATTTTGATTAGTTTAATTTGATACAAACCACTGTAGCTGAACAAAACTATTATACTCTGTAGCAACATGTTGCGAGAGCATAAAAATGTTGAACCAATCCAGGCAAAAGTTTATGTATCAATTCGGTTTGCGCGCGCAGTTTAAATGGGCCAGGGCTTATCTTGATCTTGAGTGTATATTGTCACAAAGTGTTAGAGTTTACAATTTTTCGCTTGCAGAGCATAATTTTCCAAATAATCAAATGTATTTTACCCTTATATTTCAGATTTAATTCATCGCCAAGCCATTTCAGATGCTATAGAGGTTTTGGAAGCGCGTACATGCTTGAAATTTCATGAGGCCAGTGAAACCTCCAAGAAATACGTGGCAATTTCATCCAACGCGGGTGGCTGCTACACCGCTGTTGGCTATCTGGCCAAAGTGCAGACAATGAACTTGGAAAAATATCCAATTGGCGAGGGCTGCTTCAGACCGGGCACCATATTGCACGAGTTTATGCACGCGCTTGGCTTTTATCATCAGCAAAGTGATAGCGACCGCGATAAGTACATAGAAGTTATCTACGACAATATTGTGCCGGGTAAAGAGCCTAACTTTGAAAAATACGACGCGACGGTTGTGACCGATTTCGATGTGGGTTACGACTATGATAGCTGTCTACATTATAGACCCCGTGCATTTTCGAAGAATGGGAAAGATACGATAGTGCCGTTGGACGCGACGGCGGTTATCGGTCAACGAGAACATTTGAGTAAAAAGGATATAAACAAAATTAATACCATGTACAAATGCCCCATATTGACTTAAAATTTGAGTTAATAATGAAGGGATTAGTTAATGTAATTCGGCTTTCTTCTAACAAGGGATCAAAGATAAATTATAAGGTGATACAACTAAGGGCTTAAGTAAATATTTAATATAATTGTGATACCTACTCGCTATTAATTTATTTAGTTCTACGTTTTGTAGAAATTTCCTATTAAATACCTTAAAATAAATACTATAATTATTCATTATTTGGAAAATAATTTAGATTCTTAATTTGTTGGTTTAGTAATAACAGTTCAACATAGACCAATATTTATTGGGTGGAAATAAGCGTCACATTCAACAAGCCTATAATAGTTGATCTGAATTTACTAAACCTATTAAAATTGGTAAACATGAATTAAAGTTTACCTTCCTAATAAAGAGGGTTAGTTATAGCTCAACTCATAATCAAAAACTATGCCTTTTCAACGCTATTGATGCAAAAGTTATGAGGATCTGCATCGCTGATTTAAACTACTACCAAATCTCGAACCTACATTTTTCATCCTCAGCCATAATATGATTAGATGGATTGCTTGCCTCATTATTGAAGCCTTTGAAAGCATTTTTTTAACCTATTTTTAATATTGTAGGGCAACGGGTTCAGTGTCAAATTTAAATATCGAAAATATATGCGAAATATTTTTCCAAATATTTTTCATAGTAACTTATTAATAAACAGAGTTATGTCAATGGTAACAAAATGGTAAAGAAGGTTTACATTTTTTAACCAACAGTTGGACCATACAAGTCGGTTACAACATTTTTTTACATTTACTTGTAGTATTTAAACGAAATTTCGGTCACAGATTTCTGACTCTGACTGTGTCTTATGAAGGGCCTAGCCGTCAATAGCACGTTGTTGTTAGTTTCTAACAATCTTAACATAATCCTCCAAAAATAAAATTAATAAACAATTGATAATTATATAAGCAAAAAATAATAAAGTACTCGTTTATAAGGCAACAACAAAAAAGAAATCAGTAGATTGTTAAGGAATAATCTTAGAATATCATGTAAAATTTTATTTTATATAAGCCATTCGAATATCTTAAAATGATATTTTCTTTATTAAGACCCGATTTTCAAAATAGCAACGAGTAAATCGGATAATAACTGTATACGGCCAATGAAATTTCAAACTACGAAGTGTCAGTTAGTGTTCAGGTGCGTATATCATTGGTTTTTTAATAGTGCTCGAAATCGTGTACTTCTGTTATAAACAATTTGGGGAAATTAAGATATTTTATTATCTCCCAAAAAAATTGTGTTTTTACAAAACATAACTCTCCACCACAGAATTCGTAACGTAAGTCTTTTTTATATATCTCTCCAAAAGTGAACATATTACACGATATATCGAATTTCTTAATAGAAATGAAACATGTTATGAACAACAAGTAAGGAAGGGCTATGTGGCTATTATGGGTGTAACCGAACATTTTATACTCTTGCAATTTTCAAGATTTAAAGCTCGGAAAATCCTTCAGGTGCTGGCAAAACTTTATATTAAAAAATGTTGCGAAAAAGTTAATCATCCATTATTCGATGAAATTGTGAATAAATTACAATCAAATTTGGTATCTTCTTGACTTATATTGAAGGCCATAAACTTAGACTCAGTTTTATTGTTACATTTTATTTCGTGTCAGCTAAAATTATATTAAAAACACTTTCAAATGAACGAGTATGTATGCGATATTAACTCGACCGAAAACGTCAACCAGAGGATTGGAATTCATTGTATTAGGAATATGAGGCTTAAACCAAGATACTATCTATTTTAATTCATCAATTCTAAAAAAACATTCCCAGGGTTACCTTCAGATACCTCACATACCATCACCAATCATATGGAGTAAAGTCTGCCGGATAGTCGTAAATCCTGATATTAGTTATATGGGGGTTGGGTCAAGCTTTTACCCAATTTTATCCATTTTAAACTGTTATCGCTCTCTCGGTTTCATTAAGAAAACATATTCGCCGATATATGCGGTATAAAGTCATCCGGAAGTTGGAAAATCTTTATATCAGGTATTAGGGGGCTAAGTGTAATATTGACCCGATTCAACCCATTTTTCACATACACACATAATAGTATCAGGAATAGATGCTCTCTGAATTTCAATTATAATTTTCACACATTCGGGTCTATATATTCTGTCTGTAGAATCAGGAATAGATCCTCTCTGAATTTCAATTATAATTTTCACACATTCGGGTCTATATATTCTGTACGTTGAACAGTTTTGGTTCGATTTGCATAATTTTTGGTCAATAGGTGGCATATTTTAAAGGTACTAATCTTGCAAAGTTGTATCCCGTTATATTAATTTCTTTTTGAATTGTATACCAAAAAGTTAAAGAATCAGATGAAATTAAAAATTGTGTTATATGGGAACTAGGCGCTTGTCCATTTGAACACTGTACCATAGGAATGCCAGAAGAATTTCATATACCGAATTTGGTTGAAATCGGTCAAATAGGTCCCGAGATAGGGATTTCCATCGGTGTCACGTCCATTGTCCAATTTTTGTATTGGTTCCTATAAAACTCATATGCACCAGCCTATGTGTAAAATCCAAAGTCTCTGACTTGTTTATTTAATGAGTTATCGCACTTTTAGCAGTTTTAATCATAACTGTTATATGGGGAGTGGGCGGGGTTAGCACCCGATTTCACCCATTTTCACACTGTCGATGGCGGTTACATGATTTGTTTTGAGTAAATTGGATTATCAAAACTTTAGTGGTTTAGGAAATATGCCCATTTCACATTTTATAGGGCGGGCTCACTTTTTAAAAAAATTTTAAACTGAAAATGCCCTACCCTAGTGCGATTCGTTGTACCAAATAACACTCGATACAAAATTATAGAGATTAGTTATGGTAATTTATTGGTTTTGGAGTAATAGCGTTTGGTGGGTGGTACAGTAGTCCGATTACGTCCACTTATAATAGCAACCGTCTTACGGTGCCAAGAAACATGTGTACCAAGTTTCATCAAGAAATCTCAATTTTTACTCAAGTTACAGCTTGCACAGACGGGAGGACGGACCCGGGTTTCAACTCGTCCTTTCATCCTTATCATTTATAGATGCATAACCCTATATCTAACTCGATTAATTTTAGGTGATACAAACAACTGTTAGATAAACAAAACTAATATACTCTGTAGCAACATGTTGCAAGAGTATACAAATTGGTATATGAGTAAATACATGATATTCAGATCACTCTTAACCTTAGGTGACTGGTGTAAACAAAGTACTATAAAAAAAAGTAAGGAATGGCTAAGTTCGGATGTAATCGAACATTTCATGGCCCGGTGTTCTCGAAGGGGCCCGTATTTTCCAAAAAATTAAATGAATAGTTGAAAATTAGAATGCTTTTCATAGGTGATTAATTAGAACTTTTAATAAGACGTTGTGATTACCGATAAAGGAACGTTTTCTCACTTTTGTAGATTGACACGAAAAATTCGGCAAAGCTATTGCCGCTTTAATTTTTAAAACATTGGAAAATTACAACATTCCTTTGGAAGATTGCCGTAGACAGGTTTACGATAATGGTATTAGTATGAGCGGTAAATGCGTAAAAATAAGTATGCAGTCTTCCGCCTTGTGCTGCCCAAACACTGAAATTGGCTGGAGTCGACTGGCTGAATGCTGTCTTTGAGCAATCATTTTATTTGTATGTCGTTCAAAAATTTTTCAATATTTTCAGTAGCAGCACACAACGTTGGGAAATTCTGAAATCCAAAAAACCCACCCCACTTCACTGTCTGTCAAAATATTTTTCAAAAAAATATTCCGTTGATATACCGATAAGTTGTCCAATGAAACTATTTACCTAAGAAAAGTATACGATGGAAATTTTGAAACCCGTCTTACTTCATACGTTTGCATCGCTTTTAGAATATTTTACCTGTTTTGGTTTCAAGTGCAAGCAATGATCAAAAATTGTCATGCATCATGCCCGTCACGGGGCAGGATTTCACGACTAGATACTCTGTGCCTACAGGCAGAACTAGCCAAGAAGTTAGACTTCCAGACTATTATCGACGTATTTGCTGCCGCCAAAGCTCGAAAAGATCAATTTTAAGTCCCAAATAATTAAAGATTGGAGGATTTTAAACTGCATGTTAAAAAACTTATTTACGATAATTAAAAGGTTTCAAAAGAACCGTTGTTTCATTAATTATATCGACAAATAAATGTTTGGATGAGATGTTTCTATCTTTTTATTAACTGTCAAGTATTGCTATGCCTATATTCATATATTGCGGTATAATCTGAGAAAAGTATTTTTAACTGAGAGTCTATGTATGAACTTGCTAATTCATTATTGATTTTCAAATTAGTACAGAAAAAATTTGTTCCACCCAACATCAACAAGAAATCAAATTTAATACAGTTGTAATGAGAGCATAAAACACTACGTTGTATTTGGCATTGAAGTAGTAAGTGAAAAGATAGTGAATAAAATTTAAAAAGTATTAAAAACATTCCTGTAGGGAGGGTGCCTCACCTTTATACCCCTGGGTCCGGTTTTTCTCTCGTCGGTATAGTATAAAGCCAACCGGACGTTTAAATATTGTATATTAGGTATATGGGGTCTAAGGGATGTTTTGATTGTATCTATCTTTGGCAATACCCATACTAATACATACGAATAATATATTCCCTCAATTTCATTAAGTATTTCCAATATATATGGAGTAATATAATAATATGAATAAGAATCTGTCGTCTTCACAATTATAACTCACATATTGGCCGATATTTTCGATAATATCTTCGATGTACTAAATCGGTGGTGATGCGGTAAAGCCATTGCATACAATTTTTTATCAACTTATGCAATTACAATTATATTTTTATTTTTTCTTTCATATTAAAACAAGTTTTTTCTTTGATATTAATTTAAGTTACACTTTTTGAGCGTGGTTACCGATAAGTGAACAAATTTCTTTCTTTTATTGAATAAATGAGAAGTTATTATTATCTAAAATATTTTTTTTATCTTACAATACATGTAGGTAATTCAGGAATTTGTATAATTAAATCTAGAGG